ATGCGTCGAGACATTACAGAGAGTTGATGATTTATTCCGATATCTACAACCCTCGTCGGCTGATTTAGGGTCTCAAACGAAGATGACGAACAAACCTATAATATTAAAGGATCTCTATAATCCGAAATTTAAACGCAATTTACAACAATAAAAAACCAAAACAAATATTCATTTTCCCAATAATATTCATTTTCTAAAATAATATAATTTTTTTCTAAATCTCAACAAATAATTAAACTTTAATGAGGTGACATATGTCACTTTTTGCCCCTCGTGGAAAAAGGCTAATTTTATTATATAAAATATAGTTTTACCCTAAATAATTGAACTTGTTTAGTATTTAACCCAAAATAAAAATTTTAATATTCTTTTCATAAACCTATTACATTAATTTCTACAACTCAAGTATTTCAGTTTTAGAAAATTTGATCTACTATTTTTAAATTTTATTTCGAGTTTGGATTGGTTTGGTTCATATACAACACAAACTCTATAAGTTTATTGAGTAATTATTTAGAAAATTCTATATAAATATATGATCCTACTAAAATTATAAATTAATAATTTAAATGTATATACATTTCATATGGTACAAATAAACTAAGATATTGTTAATTTTTCATTTATAGTAAAATTATCTTAATATGTTCTTAACACTTAATATATTCTTAATGAGATTTAGTAAAATTATATGTAAAATCACATTTAAATCTATGAAATCTATTTTTCTATACACCAAATAATATAAGAAAAATAAGATGAATACTGAATTAAGAAAATAATTAATGTGTATTCAATTAAATCACATATTTTTCTTATATTAGAAAAAATATTATTTTAAAACAGAAAAATTAATGTCTATTCATTAATATCAAATATTTTTATCTTCGAATAAAAATATTTAAAAAAAAAAAGAAAACTAAATATTTTTTTTAAATATCATATACACCAAACAATATAATAAAATTAATATAAATATCAAATTTCAAAAAAAAATAATAATTAATGTCTATATATTAATATCAAATATTTTTTATCTTAAAATAAAAAAAATATATATATATTTTTTGTAAATTAATATATCTTTATAAAATAATAAAATTTCAAAGTCTCAACAATATTAATTTATTAAGTTGTACTGTACTCGTTTGAACCTTGAAATTGCGAATGTGACTCAACCGGATCGCAATACAAATTTAGAGAAGTAAAATGGAGTTTGTTAAAACAGACGGGGATTATCTGTAATACTGCATTACTTTTTCACCACTCACAAAAAAAAAAGAAAAGAAGTTAGCAAAAAAAAACCTCTAAAACCCTCGATTCTTCTCCTCGCAAACATTTTCGTCAGATCGCTCCATTGTTTGACAAAGATGAAAGCTTTTAGATCTCTACGAATACTAATTTCCATCTCACGGACGACGGCGACGACATCTCGTTGTAAACCCCACAGCTTCCTCCGCAGGCTCTACTCGGCGCAGCCGAATCTAGACGAACCCGCCTCCCTCAACGGAGACTCTGCTTTCGATAGCAGTCAATACTCAGTCCCTGAAGATCCTTTGAAAAAGCCGAAGCAACCTAATTGGGATAAAGGGTACAGAGAAAGGGTACAGAGGGAGCTGTTTCCAGAAGACAAGGGTAAACTGAAATCTCCAGAAGAGAGCTCCGAAGAAGATGAAGAAGATAGTGAGATTGATAGGTCAAGGATGCTAGCGAAGGCTCTCTTGGAGGCGGCGCTTGAGTCAGCTGATGACGAACTCGGTGAAGGCGAGGTTCGAGAAGAAGATCAGAAGTCTCTTAATGTCGGTATCATTGGTCCACCAAACGCCGGAAAGTCTTCCCTCACTAATTTCATGGTTCGTTTATTCAAAAAAAGTTCCCATCTTTTATGTTTATGTTGGAGAATATTGCTTACGGTTTTGAAGTTTAATGGTGCAGGTTGGGACAAAGGTTGCAGCTGCTTCACGTAAGACCAACACTACGACCCATGAAGTGTTAGGAGTGTTGACTAAAGGAGATACTCAAGTTGTAAGTTTTTTCTCTTGCCGTTTATTCACTACTCCTTTGTGGGTTAAGTATGGAGGTTAAATGCAATTTTTGAAACAACGTTGCAGTGTTTCTTTGATACTCCGGGTTTAATGTTGAAGAAAAGCGGATATGGTTACAAAGACATCAAGGCTCGTGTGCAAAATGCTTGGACTTCTGTTGACCTTTTTGATGTTCTCATTGTTATGTTTGATGTCCACAGGCATCTCTCTTGGTAAGTCACTCCTTTCTCTACTACTTTATCAGCTTTCCCTTGACAAGAACTTAAAGTAGTCTAGTTAATTGCATCAAGTAGAGTTACTAGAATCTCATAACCGATATTATCTTTAAGCTTTAGAACCGCAATTTAATGGGCATAGAGTTCCCTCAAACTTTTATTCTTATGTTTTCTGTTTGATTTGCATAGTCCGGATTCAAGAGTTATACGCTTGATCACATACATGGGAGAGGAAGCAAATCCGAAACAAAAGCGCATTTTGTGTATGAACAAAGTTGATTTGGTCGAGAAGAAGAAAGATCTGCTAAAGGTTGCTGAGGAGTTCCAAAATCTCCCTGCATACGAAAGGTACACAGATTCATTTACCTGACTCAGTTTAATAGGGAAGTCTCTTGAATTGCAACTGAAATTGTATGGTTTTAGGTACTTTATGATATCAGGGCTCAAGGGATCTGGAGTTAAGGATCTTAGCCAATATTTAATGGATCAGGCAGTTAAAAAGCCATGGGAGGAAGATCCATTCACCATGAGTGAAGAAGTCATGAAGAACATCTCTCTTGAAGTTGTTAGGGAGAGATTACTAGACCATGTTCATCAGGTAATAGTAATAATAATATAATAACCTCTTCTTGCATATTGGTTTCTAAATTACACGACTGTGAACAAACCATAGGAAGTACCATATGGCGTGGAGCACCGTCTAGTGGACTGGAGAGAGCAGCGAGACGGGTCTTTGAGGATTGAACAGCATCTCATCACTCCTAAACTTAGCCAACGCAAGATTCTTGTGGGCAAGGGAGGTGCTAAAATCGGGTAAGAGCAAGCAAGATCACTGGCAAATTCACTCTTTGAACTAATCTCTGATCTTTTATGAACTTGTGCTTATTCGGCAGGAGGATAGGAATAGAGGCTAATGAAGAACTTAGGAGAATAATGAACCGCAAAGTTCATCTCATTCTCAAGGTGTTGCTCAAGTGAAACCGTTCTCTGAAGACCTTTAGTTTTTGAGTTTTGATTGGTTTACAGAATCGTTTGTACACGGTTTTTATATCTGTCTGTATATTTGATGTTGTCAAAGATTAGACATTGACATTAGAAATATAATCTTAATGCAAACAGACAGGATCACAAGAATGAAAAAAACCAAACTATTTTTTTGGGGGAAAAAAACAGCAAGCAGTATTAAAGCCACAGTGGAAACACGTTGTCCATCAACTAAAAGTTTAAAATGATCGTTGACAGCCAGCCAATTGATTAGTTTCTCTGATTTTATTAAACTTTAGAAACAGTAACTATGGATAGTGTGATTATGTGAAAGGCATGTATATAGTTTGTGGATTAGGAACCGTGAAATATGTAGATTAGATAAAAATATTGTAGAAAAACAACTGGAAAAAAAAAGATTATAAGATCATATATATATCAAGCACCCAAATAATTATATCATGAAATAAAACATCTTCTGTGAGATACTCTTATGGTGATGTAGGATTTAGCTTCAATTTGCTCAAGTTGGCCTGGATCTACTAGGTCTAGTCTCAAGAGTCAGCAACAAGACAGCTAAACACATATGCTTGTTAGTAACATGAAATTTTCTTTTAAATAAAATCAAAGCTATAAAACTAAGGATTCAATTGGTATAGCAGATGATAAAATAGTAGCAATATGTTGTACAATCAGTATGCTACAGAAGTTATATGATTTCATTAAAGTTTTTAATAAAATGATTGGCAGAGCAGTAGCAGTATACAATTATGAAATTATAATAGTAGTTATATAATAATATATTTCTTTTAAAATAATATTTATAATATATATTAATAATATATTTTTATTAAAAATAATGAATCTAATAATATATTTTATTAAAATAATGAATCTGATTCATTATATAAATTATATTTAAAAATGTAAAATTTATTTTTAAAATATTAAATTATTTTTTATATACACATATCTTAATATTATTAAATTAATTAATTGATTGTATATAATTTATATATAAATTATTATTTATTTATTGGTAGAGCAGTAAATGATTCATATATAAAATTAACACAAAAATTAATATATGTTATATAATTTATTTATTAGTGTCTAAATAATATGTTTATTTCTATAATATATAAATATATATTATGTTATGTTTGTTATTAAAAATAATGAACGATATCTGTAATTATATAAATTTTATTATATTTTACATATGAAATATTGTTTTCTAATTTTTTTTAAAATATCCCTCGGGCTTGTTCCTCCTCTACTTAATTATAATTTTTATTCTTATTTTCTGAAAATGTAAATTTATTTTTGATTATAAAAATATTTTTTTATTAATAAACAAAAAATAATTAATTATATATAATTAATTTTTACGTTTTAGATATTTTATCTGTAAATGCTCTTCCAAAACCTCTATAGGAGAGTATTGAGGCAAAAGTATTTACATTTGGTAAATGATTTTCTAAATGTTTCTTTGACAAATGTTGATTGAATAATAGAGAAAATAATGCATATGTTAATGTTATACCAATCAAACCCTAATAAATGGAAGAAAAGTAATAAAAAAGCTTTCCGAGTCACACTAAAGACTTAAAACATTCTCTATCTCTCTTTTTTCTATGGCGTTCTCCTTGCAGCAATAACCAACATAATCATCTATAATCTCAAATCACTTGGTTTCTTCGATTTAAAACATCAAAATTTATTCATGACAAAAAGACCAATTTAATTTATAACCAAAGCCTCAACCAATTCATTCAGTAATTTACAGATGACCTGAGAAAGCCCTTTTTATTGGCACTTTCAATGCAAACTTCCTTTCAAAATGTAACCCTATAAGATCTTAAGCATATATTTATCTACAACAACGAAAATAGTAGGGAAAAGGGTAAAATGGCCACAAACGAAGTTGTTTTTCAGGATAAACAATAAGAATGAAGTAAAGAAGAAAAGAAAATTTCTTCTTCAACTTTTTTTTAAGACTTTCCTTGGGGTTGACGCAACAACAAATTAGCTTTTGAAACAATAGTGGAAAAAATTTTAGGCTGCAGAAGTTAATCTCAGCTGTTGAGATTCACCAGTTAATGGATCGTTTGTGTTTTGGCTCTCCAATGGCATGTATTGAGACATAATCGCCATGATTTCTGAATCCATGTAAGACTGCATTTTGGTGTTTTTGACACACATAGAAAGAATAATCATCAGAGAGTAGGAATTTAAAGATTCAATAAAAAAAAAAAAAAGCAAACATGTAAAAAAACATACCCTGAGACGATACTTGTAGAACACGTAACCACCTACACAGATACCTCCAACTGCAGCTAGAATCACAAATGTCAAGAACCATCCGATTCCTGATCCGCTTTTCTCTGCGAAAATAAAAGAAAGACAAAATAAGAATATGATGAAGGTTATCGATCATGATTTTTTGTATCTGACATTTACCGATACAAGTGTCTTGTTCTTTCATGTAGAGACGATTGCCAGAGCATTTGCATTCGAAGCTTCCCCATTTGTTGTTACACTTGCATCCATCACATTGACAAGCTGATTTCTCCTTACATTCATCAATGTCTAGTAGATATTTACAAGCAAAAGATGAATCAGTTAAAGAAAACAAGATGAGAGCATTTAACATTTTAGTGGGGAGAAGTTTTCACCTTCACATTTATGACCATCCCCTTTGAAACCTGAAGGGCAACGACATCCTGATGTCTCCGAGTTCTGAATTCAACAATGAGAGAAAAATCATAAGAACCAATGTGAAATTTGGATCGAAAGTTTAAAAGTTTCAGACTTTGTGGCACTATTACCGAACAAGCAGAGAACGTTAAGCCATTTTTGGTTTCAGACCAGCAGCCTCCTTGATTCATTGAACATCTCGCAGGTCCATAAGCTGTTAATACCATTCAAGCAAAGATGAGTTCTTATTCAAACCAGAACAGAAAATGTTTTTTTTTTTTCGAACATTAAAGAAGTTGAAGAACATACGTTCACATGAAGTATAACCATCTCCTTTATACTGCACACCATTCACAACAGGGCACTCACAGACTCTTCCCCTAAATGTGTCCTAATAGTATCCAATTTAGGTGAAAAGCCCATCAATATCTATGAACTTTTTAATGAAAACACTTATGTTATTAACCAAGTACCTTGCAAGCTGTTACATTAGATTTCTTGTCCTGCCAACACCCTCCATTTGCTTCAAGGCATTCATTTGTTTCTATATCTGTTTTCAAAAGTGTATATAATATTTATTTAGTATTATTATATTACCAGAACATGGTCAGTTTACAAGGGGAACTGGTTTAACCTCCACTTAAACAGATCCCTGGTTCGGTTCTCTCCTTGAACCCTGAACATATAGCCTTTAATACCGAACTACTCTCCAATTTTCCTGAGCAATGAAACAGATTAACAACTTAAGAATCTTTAAATTTTTGGTAACATATTGTATTCTAAACAAACATGTTAGATTAGTTCCAAGAGGAAAAACATGTTACAATAAGAAGGAATGAAACAAACCTCGGTATTGAGCATCGTTGATGATCAAAGTTGGCAAGATTGTGACATCCCCACGGTCTCCCTGTCCAACCTGAAGTGCTTGCTCAGCTTTTAAAACCTCATTCTCCACATCAGCTCCAGGATCACCCATACATTTCTTGATTTTGTCAAGTGGCAAACCTGAGAATAAGATAATATTGTAAGACCCTGAATGTGAGGAAAAGAATATGAGATTGTGGTGTCTCTTACCTAGAGATTCCACAACACTCTCTGCACATTCTTTGCTATACTTCTTCTCCTTCATGGAACACCTAATGTGAAAATCAGTCACATAGTCCCACCAAACCCAAGACTTGTTAATCTCTTTCCCTACTCTATGAACACATAACTGTCTCAAGTTCTCGAAAACGATGTCTTTCCCATCGTATCCGTCTCCAAAGTCTTGTTCAGGGTCAGGAGCACAATACCTCCCTTGGTTTATACACTGAGACTTACACTGATTACTAGAAATATAATCTTTAGGACAAAACCATGTAATGTAATGAGGTGTGAACAAAGAGTATCCTCCTTTTTCAAGAATCTGCGCGTGCCCTTTAAAGTTCTTGACAAAATTCATCTGCTCATCGCAACGTGCACCACACTCATCATTCGTGTTAGTCCATAGCTCATACTCAACTCTCTCATCGGGATGAGGCAGTGACTCGCTCCAGTCTATCTTGAGGACTAGTTCCTCTCCTTTCTTAAGAGCTTGCTTGAGAGTGTTTGCGAAAGAAAGGTCGATTAAAGCAGATGGAATGCTTAGTTTCTCTATGAAGTCATCAGCTTCTTTGGATTCTTCAGGTGAATCCATTGTTATCAATGACTCGTCCACGTTATCTGCTATTAGAACTGCTGCTGCACCGGATTTTTGACCGTTCCATACCTTTAATGCAAAGTAGCACTCTATTGCAAAAACAAAACAAAACCACAAGAAAGAAAAAAATTAAAACCACATCTTTACCATCCTAATTCTTCAATCTATAACAAAAATGAGATTAAGGCGTTTATAAATGTTGAAAGACTAGTTTGGTTCGGGTAAAGTCGGGTTTTAAGTTAGTTCGGTTAGCACATGCCAAATTGAACCGAACATAAATTAGGTTCAGCATTTGTTTAGTTCAGTTAATTTTATTAAAAATTAAATGTAGTGTTTAATTTTGGTTTAATCTCAGTTTATTAATTCAGATTTTTCAGTTAAACTCAGTTAATTTCGTTTTAATTTTTGGTTAGTTTGATTCTGAATTTTGATTAAGGTTTGTATGATTTTGTTATAAGGTTGTTGTTTTTTTAAAAGAAAACAAAATTAACCAATTGTCAAACCAAAACTAACCGATAATCGATCTTTTTATCAACTTTGATTTTTTTTCTGACCAAATGATATATATATATATATATATATATATATATATATTTTATATATATTTTATTTTTTTAAATGCTAAACTGGATCGAATGATAACCCAAAACCGAAAATTTGAGTTCGGTTTGGCCAAACTCCCATAGAAACATGGAAATTGGACCGTTCTCTAATTTGCTAAGCGGTTTGGATCATAACAAAGTCTATGGAAATGAAACAGTTACCTCCACGATCGATGATCAAGATGGTGGGACGAGGGAATTTGGGTTTGAAAGTTTTGCCAAAGGAGTCACATCCAAAAGCTCCTTGACCGGCGTAGACGACGGAGCCGATCATGTAACCACCGTAGTTAGGCACACCGAAGTTAGCAATGGCTGCGTCGTGCTTCGACCGCATTGCCAAAGGGCTTAGGATCGTTACGCTGCTCTTCTCAACGATGAACCTCCCGAAAACGCAGTCGATCACCACGGTCAACGCTAGAAATAGAGCCAATGTGGCTCCCTTATTGCTCAAAGACATTATTAGTTTCTGGTTAGAAAACAACAACAGAGTTTATAATTTTATTTCGTTTGTTTTCCTAAGAAAGTGAAACCAAGTCGGAAAGTAATGATTTTTCGGAACTGTGTGTCTCTGTTTTTCGATTTTCTGTAGATTTTTTCACGAGAAATAAGATATTAAAGAGAGTTAGGTGATTCTAATGTCTTCATTTTCTCTGGGTTTCCATGAGAAATGAGATGAAAACTTTGCTTTGATGGGGGGAAAGTTCCAGAGGGAAAAGAATTGAGTTTGCAGAAAAGTGGATGTCTCTGTTTTCTGGAGGAAGAAAGATATCTTAACGTAAAGTAAACGAGAGAGAAGATGACTTGACAGAGTCAGCGGAACTAACCATGTCTCTGCAACTACTGTTTCAACAAACTTCTCTCTTTCATTCTTTCTTTTTCTTTCATTTTTTTAATTTCTAAATTATTGACTAGGAAAAAAAAAGATTTAGCGTTAACTTAGAATGCAAGACAAACGTGAGATCCTATCATTTTTTTCCAAAGCTTAATCAGAACGTTACAAAATCAGGTAGATCAAGTCTACAAGTTTTCAATCTTTATCTACAACAATAACTTTTCAATAAACAATGGTTACAAAAATCCAGACCATTGCTTACTTCATTGACTTTTGAGAAATGTTGAAGTGCCATATGGGTTAAGTTAGAGAATCATCAGAATCACCGATGTGACAATTACTAGGAGACATGAATTATTGCATAATCAATATTAACTTGTTTAATGAATTATCCAACCTAATTGTTAGCTTTACCATTATTTCAAAATTATTTAAGGCAGACCATGAATATGATGTGTGTTTGTTTATAGAGGCCATTATGATGTGTTTGTGTTTTTAATGAATTCGGAGAAATGGTAACAAACAAGCGTTTTAATTTGGCAAGACCAAGTCTCTGATGAAAGAAAATGATTTGAGAGAACTAGTTACAAGAATATTTTATATGTGGTTGGAGAGAAAATGTCAATCCATGATTTAAAATTGTCCCATTTGCGTGAATCTCATGCCAACTTTTTTCATATGCTTACACGGATTTTCTTTTGTATAATCGAATATTAGTTTCTACAAGTACATTTTTTTTATAACTTCACATTTCATTTAATCAAATCGGGATGTTACATAATTTTCATGAAGAAGATCCGTCATATACATTGGAACTAAATGATGAAAACGAAAAGAAAAATCTGTTAGTCTAGATTTGGCCAGTTTATCTGCCACCTTATTTGCTTTACGTCTGATCCATCTAGATGAGATTTCTTCAAATTTTTGAGACCACCATCTTATTTCTCTGATCCAATTATAAGCAGCAAAATGGATAGTTTTACCGGTCAATAGATCAATAAATTTTTTACAATCATTTTCAATGATAAGTTTACGATATCTTCTGCTCCAACAATGTTGTATTGCCATTAAAATAGCATGTAGTTCTCCTTCTAACGCAGAACTCACTTGCTTACCAATAGCTTGTACTGAACCTCTATATAAATCATTATCATCACGTATTATCCATCTTGCAGTAGCTTCCATTCCAGCGTTTATAAAAGAGCCATCCACATTACATTTATCCATCCTAACGTAGGTCTTTTCGAACAATGATTTGCATTTGGGGGAAGATATATCTCCTTGCCTTCCCATGAGGTTATGATCCTCATAAGCCTCCATTTATTTCCATTCATTTGCATCACTTTTAGCATATCTTAAAATAGATCTCCAATGTAAACTTATTACGAATTTTTCATATACCCAAAGAATATTGTGGGAACCGAAATTCACACTTGTCGATTTCCGTTAAATAAGGAAACTTAAGAAAACTCTAATTGTCCAGAGGAACCGGATCTCTGCGAAAACCAACGACAAGTAACCAAATAAATGCGGAAAATATGAAAAAACATAATAAAACGAATTTATAAAGAAAGTCGATCTTATTTCCGATTCGCGTAAGAGCGTTGCGATCATTATAAAGAATTACAAAGGCTTTGGCCGCAGGGGCCATCAGCGAGTTACAAACATAAAACCCTAGATCTAGTCGAGTCGCAGCTCGATAACGAAAAACGGAAAAAGATAGGAAAAAAGGTTTGAATGATTTCGGACTGAACCTTATGAAAGGCTGCCTACGTACCCCTTTCGGGGATCAAGTCGAACGTAGTTCAGTTGGTAGAGCNAAAAGATAGGAAAAAAGGTTTGAATGATTTCGGACTGAACCTTATGAAAGGCTGCCTACGTACCCCTTTCGGGGATCAAGTCGAACGTAGTTCAGTTGGTAGAGCTGGACCAGAGATCGAACTGCCTGGGCGAGTTCGTCTAGTAATTGAGCGCCAGTCATAGAAACCGAACTTGTCGAGAAAAAGCCTAAGTTTCTAACTGCGGAAAATTCTAAGTCTAGAAAAGTTGTGAAAGTCTCAGATGAGAGCTCTGGATTTCGTCCCTCTCTTCTGCCCTACGCCTCTGGTTTATATACTCCTTGCCTTGACGGTTCGATCTTTCCATTTTGCCGGATTTGAGTATTTCGGGAATCTTCCATTTTTCTCGATCCTCCCTTTTCTTCCGCGGAAATCTTCTATTTATCTTCAAACTTGCCTTTTATCTTCGAACTTGACATTTACTTTCCTTCTGCGAGTAAACTGTTAAAACGTTATTGAGTCTTCGGGTTAGAGTCCGTTAAGATCGCGAGATGGGTTTTTATCGCGTTTTAGGTCCTTCCGGGCCGTTTTGCGATAAATCTGTTTTCCGACTTTTACGGGATCGTTTCCTGATCTGACATCGTTTTTAATAAATTCCTCGAGTTAATTGTAAGGTTTTACGATTTACTCTACTTTTTTATTAAAAATACGTTTTTAACGATTTACTCGACGTTTTTTACTAAAAACACGTTTTTTACTAAAAACACGTTTTTTATGATTTCAACGAGAAATCTCGAATAAATCGTATATTTTAGGCAATGTTCGGTGTTTCGTTTAACCGTTACAGTTTTATACGATTTCTTCGAATTCTTTATCGAGAAAATGAAGTTTTACGGTTTTTATCGTAAAAGTCGAACGATAAGTCGGATCGAAATGGAACGAGAGATGTTTCGGCCTTGGTTCAGAACGCGACCGTGTCGTAAGTTTCGAATCGGGAATGCGGGAGATCGAGGCGCGGGATATCCGGGAAATCTCTAGTCCGCCCATCGGCGAACTAAGCCGGGCCGGCTTAGTTCGCCAATGGGCGTACTAGTCGAGTGCCTCTTAGTTCGCCAATTGGCGAACTAGTCGAGTGCCTCTTAGTTCGCCAATTGGCAAACTAGTCGAGTGCCTCTTAGTTCGCCAATTGGCGAACTAGTCAAGTGCCTCTTAGTTTGCCCATGGGCGAACTAGTCGTGACTAATTCGCGTTTTACGGCTTGTTTCGGTTTTTTTGCGGTTTCGTAAAACGATTCTTGGAGTTTTATAAAACGATTCTTCGAGATTTATAAAATGATTCTCGGGTTTTATAAAACGATTCTTCGAGTTTTATAAAACGATTCTTCCAATTTTATAAAACGATTCTCGAGTTTTATAAAACGATTCTTCGAGTTTTATAAAACGATTCTTCAAGTTTTATAAAACGATTCTCGAATTTTATAAAACGATTCTTCGATTTTTATAAAAAGATTCTCGAGTTTTATTAAAACGACTTTCCGTTTTAATAAATGACTTTTGCGGAAAGTAATGATTCCAGAAGTTATCGTAGACGTTGATTTTGAGATTACGGTTTTTGACACCAACATCCTCGAGTTTTATAAAATGATTCTTCGAGTTTTAGAAAACGATTCTTCGAGTTTTATAAAACAATTTCTCGAGTTTTATAAAACGATCTTTCGAGTTTTATGAAACGTATTTTTATTTTTACTTTTTCGGATACTTTTAGCCATTGATTCCGTCGTGATCGATTTTGACACCAACAGTTAGCCCCCCAGTTTGCTAGAATCTTGAGCTTCTAGCGTAAGGTTCTTGCGAGTGGTTTGCCAGTTTTACTTAAATTAGGCGGAATTAATGGTTGGGAAGGTCCGTTGAGAGTGATCTTTCCACTTTCCGGGGAGCGGAAAGCGTATAAGATTAGGGCTGCGCCTTGTGAGGGCTGCCTACGTACCCTTTTGTGGGGATCAAGCCTTTCGTAGTTCGTTTCGGATTTAAGGTTCGTATGACCCGTTTCCTAGCAATACCTTTACGGTCTAGTTACATGTTTGTAGGAATTATCGAGCATATTGATGTTGATGGCATCTGGACCTTTGCCGGCCTTGAGACTAGCCTCGTAGGCCGTTTGATCTGGCCGAGCGTGGCCGTTATAGTTTTCGGACTGGCCGTGTGCGGCTCTGAGCCCCTGCCGCTTTTGCGGCTTTATTAAAAATCAGTTTGCGTTTTTAAGAGCGTGTTTTTATTCGTATGAATGTAGCGGGAAGATTATGAGTTGATATTGAGGGAGGTCCGCGAGTTGTCGTCTCGCATTCCTTTTTCCCTTAGTGTATCGCCTTGGTCATTTGCCCGTTTTAGGATGTTTAGTAAACCGAGTGAGCGTTTAGATATAGACGAAGAGACATGCCTTTAGGATCTCGATTCATGCCTTGAGACGTTAGCGACCAGTGTGCTGGGTTTAGGGCAAGACCTAGGTTTACTTTCGGATTGAGGCTATGCGATGACTAGTCGGCTTTCGTTTTGCCTGTTGAGATTTTAACCTGATTCCATACCGATTTAGAATCCGCGATAGGTTCTCGGCTTATACGATTCGTCTGGTTGGAACCGAGCATCTCACCGGGAACAATTTCTAAGTTACCCGGAAGTGCTGACCAAAAGTTTGGATTTCTTTTATAGCGCTATTACCCTTGTGTCGGGTGTTCGAGAGCTATCTCTGCGAGATAACTTAAGCTTGCTTAGGACTGTTGCGAGTTCGTTGTGATCAGCAACAAAGTATTTTTAAGTGATAGATGTTTACGTAGTTTGGGCCTTCGCGAAGGATACGTATGTTAAGAAGTTTTGCGTATTTTATAGTCGCGAGCGGACTGTTAGGTCTTCCAAGAAAATGACTTTATCGAGGAAGGTATTTATATCGAAAAACTAATCTCCGGGCGTCTGCGACGTCTCGCAGTGCCGAAAGTTGGTTTTTATTTTATATGCCGCGTTTCGTGTTCGGAACGTTTGCGGGTTCGAAGATGTTGCGCGGTGTTGCGAGGGTTTTGTCTTAACCCTGCTTTGCAGGAACACTTTGGTTCGTTTGCGGATATTCGCAATTAAAACTTACATT